GCACCTCTGACGGACGCCGCCTTGCGTACGGAAGCCTCTGAAAGATCTCTGTGCACTTGTTGTACACTTACTCTGTTTTTTAAAGCTAAATCACTTTTTCTCGTTTCAGCTCGTAGTGTCAGTCTTAGATGAATAAAGCCTTCCTTCTCGGTCCTCAGTTTCTCCGTCCTTTATTTGGTTACCATCGTCAAACAATTTACTCATCCAAAAAATTTTATCCAAGAATGGATCAATTCTTACGTCCTGAACGGTTCGATACCGATGCCAATACTCAGGACACGACATATATCTAGGAGCATTGATTTTGTAAATTCCGAAAATTCCCCTGCGTCAACTGCTTTTCATTCACCAGATAAACATCTTGTTAATACCATCGTCAAACAATTTACTCATCCAAAAAATTTTATCCAAGAATGGATCAATTCTTACGTCCTGAACGGTTCGATACCGATGCCAATACTCAGGACACGACATATATCTAGGAGCATTGATTTTGTAAATTCCGAAAATTCCCCTGCGTCAACTGCTTTTCATTCACCAGATAAACTGAAAATCTTGTTAAGCTACGTTGTTCCTAGTGTTCACTGCTTCATCAAGAACTGTAAGGAATATGAATCAGCTACTGCAAAGTTGCGGGAAATCTATTTACAACCGAAAAATGAAATTCTCGCCCGGCACCTTTTAAATACTTGTAATCAAGACGGATACCCAAACCTTGATCAATTTGTGCAAAAGCCTCGCAGTTTGTTGCCAAATTACCGCCTTACGGCTGTCAGTGCAGGACATATCGATGAAGCATTACAAGGCGCATTTCTTACTTGACTTTATATGGATACTAATCGTCAGATGCTATTGGAACATAAGTCGCTGGATTTTAAAATCACCTAGAATCATGCGAAATAGGTCGAATCAGAGCAAAAATAGTCGCAGTCGCTTTTGCCGAACAATAAATTGCCCTGTGCTACCGTATTGAACCACCCACAAAAGTCTCAAGCAACATCGTCTGAACAGATGATTTCTACTAGTGTGGGGTCTTCATGTTTCCTTTGTGGCTATGCTCGGCACCCGCGTTGTAAATGCCCCGCTAAATTATCGACCTACAAAATTGTTGGACGGGCATTTTCAAAAAGTATGCAGATCCGCCACTAATCTGAGAAACACCTCATCCGTTTCAAGTGGACCATCTTGCATCAGTGCTGCGGCCTCCGAGTGTCTCAAGGAAGCAGTCACCAATGTAAAAGCCAATAGCATCCCACTTCGAGCTCTTGTTGATACAGGTAGTTTCATCATCATCATCATCGACAGCATGACATCAGTGTTCAACACCGATGCTTCACTGCCGTACAACCATGGCTTATTCGAATAAAGGTGGACGGGGAAGGGACTTAGTGCTAGCTTAACACAATCATTCCGAGCTGCCTACACCTCCAGACATTCACTCAGGCAACCTGGATAGAAACTGACAACAAGAACGCCACTGACATCGGTTGACAGCCATATCTTGTAGTGTCTCCAACCAGGCACAGTGAGGATCACGCGGTCCCCATCCTGGAAGGCGAGTAGCACCGACAGCA